GAGGCTCCAAGCACTTTGCCTTGAGCTGCTTTCAGGCCAGGGAACACATTCCTACCGGAAGTAGTGTGGGAAAGGTGCTGCGAGGCCTTTAACTTGTCTTTCTTTCCATCTGAACTTTGACCCCAAATTAGCACCCTGCACACCTCTTCTAGGAAAGGCCAGGCGGGGAGTATTAACCAGTATTCACTGAGCCTGCCAGGGGCTGCTCATCTGTTATTTCTTTAACCCTGAAAGACATAATACGTTCTCAGGGAGATGAAAATGTGTCTGTGATCAGATTCACGAATGAACTCTGCTCTCCCCTCACCCAAAAACCAAAATACATTTCTATTAATTGATAGAAACAGTGTTCCGTTGTGTCGCTTGACTGATGTGGTATTTGGCGCCCCCTACTGGTAGAAAGTGCTTCGGCGGCGTGGAGTGTCTACATCTCGCGCCATCTCCATGGGCGCCTTTAGGCCATTATCCAGACTTGCAGCTGAAAATGTAAGAGCTGATTTCTAACAATCAATTTGGGTACCAGAGGACTTCTTATGCTGATCATAAGCTCTGATGATATGTCATTCAGGATTCTTTAAGTTGCAAGAATCTGGCTTAAGCAAACATCGAGAAAGTACAGAGTTGGATAACTGGGTGTTCCAAGGCTCCATCTGAGGATCAAATCAGTCTAGGATTCAGATGACACGACCACGCTCTACCACTCGGCATGGTTTCTGCTCAGCACGAGTTGGCTCTGCTTTCGGCCCTGGCAGGCCCACAAGCTCTCTACAACCGTATCAGACCCAAATGTCACATATTCCCACTTCAAATCCAGTGGAGAAGAAAAAGTGTTTGTGTCCTACTGTTCTCAGCAAAGGTTACAGGGCTCATGCCAACAGAATGTGATGGGCTGGTTGCTGAACCAAACGAAGTTCCCTATCCTCTCCTTCCTCCCACCTACATACACACATACAGGCCCAAGGATGGTTAATTCTATGTGTCAACCTGGCAAGGCTACAGGACTAAACTATTTGGTGCCATTCTAGATGTTTCTGGGAAGGTATTTTTAGATGCAATTAACACTTAAACCCGCAGACTCTTGATAAAGCCGAGCTCTCCGCAATGTGGGTGGGCCTCATCCAATCAGTTGAAGGTCTTCCCCTGAGAGAGAGCGAATTCTGCCAGCACATTGCCTTTTGATTCAAACCCCCCTTTTTCCCCTGGGTCCCCAGCCTGCCAACCTATCTTGCAGATTTCAGATTTGCTGGGCTCTATAGTCACAAAAACCAGTTCCTTAAAATACATCTCTCTCTCACTACATAGATAGTTATCTCCTATTGTTTCTGTTTTTCCGGAAAACTCTGACTAATACAGTCACCCACATCAAATAGTTGAAAAGAAGAAAGAGCTGCAATTTTTCTAGAGACAACTTGGCAGTGCTGTTACTAGGAAGAAGGAGAAAATATGTAGAAAAAGAATCACGGATGATCACTACAGCTAGGAATTATTACAACCAACTGATTGCTATTTAGTAAGAGCAATTTGGTTGACAACAATTTTTAAAACATCAGGTCCATGGGGAGAAAGAATAAAAGTAGTTTTGGCGGGGAAAAGGTATTGAAGGTTTTCTTCCTCCCGGCTTTCTATATAATCAGATACGTGTTTAAATGTTAGCTTGGGGCGCCTGGGTGGCTCAGTGGGTTAAAGCCTCTGCCTTTGGCTCAGGTCGTGATCCCAGGGTTCTGGGATCGAGCCCCGCTTCAAGCCTGCTTCCCCCCCTCCCCACCCCGGCTGCTTTTCTGTCTTCTTGTGATCTCTGTCTGTCAAATAAATAAATAAAATCTTTAAAAAAAAATGTTACTCAGCCTGGGATGTTGAGTGGCAAGCCTATCTTTAGAGGAGAAGAACCAAGCTTTAACCTATATGGTGTGGTTTGAGTAAAACCAGGATGATTGTCCAAAATATCTCCCACATCTGGTAGAGGGCCTGAAATTCCATTATTAAAATTGTATTTCCTTGCCTTGAAGGCTTGGAGGCCCTTAGGATTGTGTTGTTAAAATAAAAATAGCCTTTAGAAACATCCAAACAGTTTCCCCTAGAACACCAGCATTCCTGAGGTGTTCATTCAGCAGGTGTTCCTAAAAGGACCCCCTGAAGAGGACAAACAAGTGTGGGCAACAGTCTATACCATATCCCCCTCTTAGAAAATACATATTGGCATAGTAAAGGCTCTGAGAAGTCTTGAATAAGAGACCTGTTTAAATTTTAAAGATCTAGAATATTCTAAAATCATTGACTGTGAAATACATATCTCCCCACAAAGCACCTACTACTATCTCATTGAAGCTGAGGGTAATTGCTGGGGCAGGGGGTGAGGGGAGTGGTGGATGGAAAGAGCAGGCCCCAGGAGCAAAAATACCCAATTTAATTCCTGGCTCTGCTATTGATTAACTAACCAGCTTTGTCAATGTTGCTTAAGCTTTTTTTTGGCTACTGTTTTTTATTTGTAAAGTTAGTTTAATAAGCACCCACGTCTCTGGACTAAAATGATTAATATTAAGTAAGGGAGAGCCATTTGTGCAAGTTGCTGGCTCATAATTCACACTCAGGAGATGCTGATTTTGTCCATTGTCCCCTCTCTCTCTTTCTCCCTCCTTTTTCCCTTCCTCCTTCCTTCTTCTTACCATATTTTTAAAATTTCAATGAGTTTTTAATTAAGAATGGTTTTGGATATACAGAAAAGTTGCTAAGAGTCCCCTATATGCCAATGCCCATCAGATTCACTTCTTTTGTGTCTCTTCTGTGTCAGAACAGTGAAAGGAAAGAGCCTGGCCCACCAGGGTCTGGCCAGGACTCATTAACAATAAACTGGAAGGTGAGGCAGAAACGAGCAAATGCATACCTACAAGCCTGGGCCTTAAGTGCAGTGCAAACCCTAAGGTGGGTGAAGGCCCCCAAGAGAGTGACCTAACCCAGACTTTGGGTGCCTGAATAATCTTCCAAAAGAAAGTATCAACACATATCAGATAAAGGGTTAGTATCTAAAATCTATAAAGAACTTATCAAACTCAACACCCAAAGAACAAATAATCCAACTAAGAAATGGGCAGAGGACATGAACAGACATTTCTGCAAAGAAGACATCCAGATGGCCAACAGACACATGAAAAAGTGCTCCACATCACTTGGCATCAGGGAAATACAAATCAAAACCACAATGAGAAATCACCTCACACCAGTCAGAATGGCTAAAATTAACAGGTCAGGAAATGATAGATGTTGGCAAGGATGTGGAGAAAGGGGAACTTTCCTACACCGTTGGCGGGAATGCAAGCTGGTGCAGCCATTCTGGAAAACAATATGGAGGTTCCTCAAAAAGTTGAAAATAGAGCTACTCTATGACCCAGCAATCGCACTACTGGGTACTTACCCTAAAGATACAAATGTAGTGATCTGAAGGGGCACGTGCACCTGAATGTTTATAGCAGCAATGTCCACAATAGCCAAACTATGGAAAGACCCTAGAAGTCCCTCAACGGATGAATAAATAAAGAAGTGGTATATATATACAATGGGATACTATGCAGCCATCAAAAGAAATGAAATCTTGCCATTTGTGACTACGTGGATGGAACTAGAGGGTGTTATGCTGAGTGAAATAAGTCAATCAGAGAAAGACAATTATATGATCTCTCTGACACTAGGAATTTGAGAGGCAGGGTGGGAGAAGGGAGGGAAAAATGAAACGAGATGGGATCAGGGAGGGAGACAAACTGTAAGAGACTCAATCTCAGGAAACAAACAGGGTTGCTGGAGGGTGGGGGTGGGGGTTGGGATAGGGTGGCTGGGTGATGGACACTGGAGAGGGTAGTGCCATGGTGAGTGCTGTGAATTGTGTAAGACTGATGATTCACAGACCTGTACCCTTGAAGCAAATAATACATTTTATCTTAATTTTTAAAAAATTAAAAAGAAAGAAAATGTCAACAATGAAGAAGCCTGGCTAGAGGAGTGAGCCCGCCAAAGGGAGGAGGCATCAAGTGTTCCTGATGGGATGACCCCAATCGGAAGGAAGAGGGAAGAGAGGCAGCAGACCAAGGCTCAGAACTTGAAGAAGGTTGTAAAGAAATACTGAGTACTTCACTCTTGCCTGGCCTGGGAACTGCTTTCAGAATCACACTCTAGCCCTGTCATTATACAAACTTCCCTTCTGCAAAATTCTTGCAAAACCATCTGAACCGGTAGGTCTATTTTTCCAAAACAATAGCGGCTTTGAGCTGCCTTAACCCAAGTACCAAAGAATTACAACTTCTTTAAATGCGAAAATTGGCCAGGAAATAATGAGTAACAAAGGAGGAGGAGGAGTCGTGAACATTTCATGGGGCTGGAGCTGCGGGATGGGTCCTAACAAGTTAGTTAGCTTTGTCCCTCTCTTGAGTGATACAGGTGAAGGGATTCCCCCCCTCTTCTGAATCTCCAGAGCGCCGTATCTGAACCTTTCCTTGGATGAATGTCACTCGGTACAGGGGTTCGGGGCTCCCGCGAGCCTCTGGGCGCAGCCACAGCTCGCGAGCTCAGCGAGGCCGGTCTTCCCGGGACGTTCCCAGCGAGCCGCCAAGGCTCCGGCGGGAGGGGCGTCCCGCAACTATCCCCAGCGTGTCCGAAGGTCAGCCAGCTGCTCCCGGGGTCCTCACCTGAACCCCGCCCGCCAGCCGCCCGCGGAAACGCCTCCGCACGGGGAATGCCCGTTTGTGCAACGAGGCCTGGCCGCCCCCCCACCCCCCACCCCGGTTCCCCGGCCCCGCGCCCCGCTGCGCGGTCCCAGGGCGCACCTTCCTCCGCTCCCCCCTCCCCCGGCGCTCCCCGGCCGGGCTTCCCCCTGCGTCCCGGCCCCGGGGCCCACCCGCTGAGCCCGCGCAGGTGCCGGGAGACTTCCGGGGAGCGCGGAGAGAGGCCGGGGCGGGCCGGGGCGGGCCGCGCGGGGAGCTCACTCCCGGGGCGGCGGGGCTCAGGGAGGGGCCACGCGGCTGGCACTCCTCCGGGGCAGGTTGCAGGCGGCGTTCGCAGACGCAGAGGCGCTGGCCCTCCCGCGGAGCGCTCCGCAGCCATGTGGGGGACCTGGGTCGTCCAGTGTCTGGTGAGTCGGCGCGCGCTGGGCGCGGGCGGGCGCAGCGCCTGGGGCGGCGGGCGGGCAACCTGCCGGCCGCGGTCTGCCGGGCTTCTCCCGGCCCGCGGAGTCAGAGAGCCGCTCCCTCCCGGCGCCCCTCCCCGGGGACCGCTGTGCGGGGCGCGGACCGGGCCGGGAGAGGAGGGGGTCTTCTGGGGCCGCGCGGCGTGTCCGGCCGCACTGCGGCTCCGGGGCGGGGGGTGTCTGCGCCCGGGGACGGGAAGGGGGTGCCCCGAGCCCCGCGGGGACCCAGCCCGCGCGCTCTGCGGCCGCTCCCCAGCGCACACTTTGCCCTCGCTCTCACATCTAGGGAAGAAAGCGGCCTCCGGGCGGTGGGGAAAACTTGAGGCTTGAGGCCAAACCCTTTCTTTCTCGAAAAAGTTATGCGGGGGCTGACTGCATCTCCGGAGGCTTGTTTACCTTCTTACCACCACTCAGAAAAAGAAACTTGTTCTTGTTTCCCTTCCGGGAATACTTCTCCTTAAGACTGTAAGTCACGGTCTCAGGTTTGTCTCTCTTCTCCTCTCCTCTCCTCTCTCCTCTGCTCTCCTCTTTTCTCCCCTCCCCTCCCGTCCGGTCCCGTCCTGTCCTCGCCCTTCCTTTTCTTCTTGCAGTCTTCCTCGCTTGCACCCCCTTTATGGCTTCTGTTCCAGGACGCGGGGGAATCCGGACCCCGCGGCTCCAGCGGTGGTACCTGCTCCCGGCGCGCACGCCCCCGCGCGCCTGCACTTAACCTGGAAGCTTGGGCCGCAGCCCCCACTTTGGGAGAGTCCCTAGCGCACGGCTGCCGGCTTGGTGGCCAATCCAAGAGACTCGGGTCATCTGTGAGCCGAAACCCCCGAAAGTCCGAGGATTTTCATTTTATTGGGACTGACCCCAAGTTCCAAGCACCGTGATGGGACCGTGTATCAGTGCCAAGTCAGGCAGATGTCACAGCAGCCGCAGGGTGAGGGAGAGGTCTTCTTCATTTCCATTTCACAGATAGCTAAATGGAGGCCAGGAAACCCCAGTAGATGAGCCAAGGTCATACAACTACTGTAAGTGGCAGAGCTGGGACTTGGTTAGGACCTACTTCCAAAGTCCAGGCCAGTTTGTTGGTGGCGCCTGGTTTCCAGACTACACCAAAAGTTGAAAGGAAAAAGGCAGTGTCTGGAACCATCTTATGATTGGGGGAGAAAAACAAAACAAAACCTCACTGGCTCTTTTGAAAGTAATGTGCAATATTTGGGTTCCTTTAGAAACTCTTAGAGAAAACTTAATGTTCAAAATCGAACTATTTGTATAGCTCTGACCATGCTCTTTTTTTCCTGCCGGTAACCACTGCATTATTGCAGTGTTGGTTGCTTTGGAAAATCTCTCTTAGTTCTTGGGACAGCAGTACTAGTAAGTGCAGCAAAATTATCAAAGCCCAGAGGGAGTTACACTTGTTTAACCTAGCATCTTTGCCAGAGAGCATATTTAAAGTACCAAGGACACTTTGTTTTTCTAAACCAATGCACACACACGTGTGTGTATGTATTTATTATATACACTTATCATAACATCTATAATAGGTTAAATACTTGTGTATTGTGTTTACATATAATATATGGCCTAGGAGATTAAGAAATTTAAGATTGATTAAATAAATTTTATAAATGCAGACAAATAATTCTTCTGAAAAAATCTGACATAACCCTGTCACTTAGATAACCACTGTCTATATTTTATAATGTATATTCCATTTTGCCCCTCCAAACATGACTCTTCAGTTTAGTTACACAGAATCCTGCCTTGCACCCACCACTTGCCCAATAGCACACCTGTATTCTTAAAGATAGTTCCAGACTGTCTGTCGTGTCATCCGGTGTGTCTCCCGCAAACACGTGCTTTTGTGCCTTTGCACTTAGCAGTGCTTACTTAGTAGTAGCAAGAAGATTCAAGTGTGGGTGGGATTGCTAATTACATGGAACACAGAAGCGGATTTTGTTTGACCACATGAATGGGCTATGAGTAGATGGAAAGGAGCTGCCTCATTCTCTCTTGTCCTCTTGGTTGCCCTGGTGCCCTTGTCACTGTTGCTTCCTATCCTCTCTTATCTCTGTGGTTCTCTTCTTTCTGCCCCCTTGGCGGTCCTTTTTCTCTCCTCTAGTTTCTAGCTGTTGCGTCTATGATGCCTACAAGAAATAAGTTTGAAATCACCAAGCAATTCACAGATGTCTAAAGGAGACTTTGAAAACGAGTCAGGCCTAATATAGTCATTTGTATTAAAAATATCTGTGGGCATTGCTTCCTTCCTTCCTCTTTCTTCCTTCCTTCCTTCCTTTCTTCCTTTCTTTCTTTTCTTTCTAGCACATGGCTCTGATAGGATTTTATTTGTATCGTTGAGGTCTGTGGTGAGGCAGTCAGTTCTACATACTCAATTTCTTCTACATTTCTTAGAACAGTTGTCTTCAAACTACGGTCAAGGGAAAGGAGAGGGCATTTGAAAAGAAACCAGTGTATTTATAAAGAATTCTCTGGAAGATTTTCAGTGGAAAAATAAAGAATGGTTTATTTCTAATTTAATCATTTTCCTTAAACCGAACTCAGAAACATGAAATGTTTTTTTTCTTAAAATCAGTTTTACTTATATCACAAATGACTTGAAAAGTTTTTAGACTGAAACAAAAATATGAAATGTAATTTAAAACAATGACAACCTGGAGGGAAAAATGCCAATTTATAAACGATGGCAAGATGGAGAGGCAGAAATGAAATTGACACACGGAGCCCTGCAGAGCCACTGTGAGACTGTAGGAAGCCTCCTCTTGTCCATCTCTGACGTGCAGTTACCACCCCTAGTGGCAAAATTAGAGTTTAATTTAGAAAAAGAGGTTTTATTTCTCGCCCTAAGTTTAGAGGGGGAGGGATGAAAAAGTGAGAGGCAAAGGGGGACCCAGGATTTGGATGTAAGACTCTCTGGGACACCAGGCAAGTAATTTACTTGTAAATAGCTCTTGCAGTGAAAAGAAAACCCTCTGAAGGGTTCTAGAATGCTAAAGGAAAACCAGGTGACTATAATACAACAGGCAGTTGGAGAAAATAGCCAACAGATTATGAGATGTTTAAAAACCTGAATAAGGAAATCCCCCACTTGAAAACCCCTAGTGAGCAAAGTGCCTTTTGGTAAATTATCTTGGGTCCCAAAAGTCCCTCACTGAGCACATGTTTTGTAATAGGTACTGAAGACTATTACCTTAGGATGAAAAATAATAAAAGGGCACACCTAAAAAGTGGATCCAGAAATAAAAAGCAAGTTGAAACCAAATTTAGGACAGTGAATCTCTTTCTTCTCTTTAAATAGATAGGTAGAGAGAAACTGACTAGATGATGTGAAATGAAAAATAATTCTTGAAAAAAGTAAAGCCTTCCTTATTTTATCACTTAAAACAAGCATTTTGTATTTTACTTATGGCCTCTTAGTTTTGTCTACACCCGTATGTAATTGCATGTTTGTTCAATGCTGTTTGTACTCTGCTTTCTGTCACTTCTTTGGGACACAATTTTTATCTTATAATTTTTATTGGATACATTTACAGGGAGGGCATTTATTCAATAAACTAGAATTTCTAGAATTCTTATCATTTATTAGTTTATTTATTTTCTTAGTAATCTATTATTTTATTTTATTTTTTTAAGATTTTATTTATTTATTTGAAAGACAGAGATCACAAGCAGGCAGAGAGGCAGACAGAGAGAGGGGGAAGCAGGCTCCCCACTGAGCACAGAGCCCGATGCGGGGCTTGATCCCAGGACCCTGGGATGATGACCCGAGCCGAAGGCAGAGGCTTTAACCCACTGAGCCACCCAGGGGCCCCGTAATCTATTATTTTAAAGAAACCATTTCTAATTGTACTGGAATCTGCCTATATATATCTTATTACCAAAAAAAAAAAAAAAAAGCTATTTGTAGAACCATTGTCAGTATTTTAGTCCATAGTCTTGTATTCTTTTTGCTATCTATGTGTATCTATTCACAAAAGTAGGAAAACAGCATTTAATCACCTAGAAAGTCCTTTTCATTTCCTTTTTGCTTTAAAAAGAGAAATAAAGCACCTTTAGCTTCTTAAGCAGCTGGATTCCTACCACCAATTATTTCTCTTGAATTCAGTCTTAAACAAGAACAAATAATTGAATCTACTAGCCAACCTCTATATTTTCTTTGACATGAGATATAAGCAGTAAAGCTCCAATTAGAAAGGAACTGATCATTGGAGTGAAAGCTCCACCGTCACCAGAAGGAAATGAGCTGGTTCTCTCCTTTGATCTCTGCTCACTTCTTGTTTTGGTATGGACTTCGGTGCAACCAAGCCACTCCCATCGTGGGTGTTCAGAAACAGCGGTCTATGTTGGACCACTGGCCCGAGTTCCACAAAGTGTAAGGATGATAATGAATTTACTGTGGATTTAGGCATTTTGAGCAAGGCCAGCCTTACAAATTAGCAGATCTGACTGCAGCTCCCCAAGCAGATGCCCTCAGCCCGGCGAGCCTGGCAAGCCTACTGGAGGTTTTGTTAAGCTGCAAACTGGGCTAGACTTGTGAAGAATAAACTTGGTCATGGAGTCATTAATGACAGACCGTCCTTTGGTCAAGTCATGCAAGAGTCCAGATGTACTCACATCTGTGTTCTGGGAGGCCATAAAAATACAAGATGTGAGAAACATTGATACTTTTGATTTTGGAGGGCAGAGGTCTTGGAAGAGGGAGAAAATACGTACTCAGAGCATGTGGGTTACGCTCTTGCCCCTTGCTGATGACTGAGCTTTGGTTTTTAGCCATCCTCACAAGAGAATCCTTGGCCAAAGTAGACTGTTTTTCGGATGGGTGTCTTAACAGATTTAGGCCTGATTTCAAACACTGAGCAGACACTGCCCTAGACTATGGGTTTTTTGTTTCGTTTTTAGCCTGCATGGTATTGACACATGCAGTAAATATATATATGTAATAC